GTAAATCGTAATTAGTACCTGATTAAAGTAAATAAATTTAGTTTAAACCAAAACAAAATTGTAATAAACATAATTGCAACAATTATTTAAGACACCATAAAACCCCTGTGTTTTCTCTCCAACCTTAAGTATAACACGAACATTTTTTGTAATCCATTTATAATAAGATCTTCTTATAGCATATTATTATGGCAATTACGGACTCCGGAAACCTTTCAACCAATAATATCGATAAAAGGCAGATCACCTTGTCTGCGAAAAACCAGTCCTATATAATAACAATTAAAAAAGGCTTTTAAAGTCGTCGACTTAATTTTTATTAGGGTTCTCTACTTATAGGGTAAAACGGGATCCGTGCACTACCTGTATCCGTCCATTTGTCTATTGATGCAGACTATAACAACATACATACAACAGACAACTGTTTTAACGTATAGAGATTATACTTTGACGTCAGAGCCACCCTTCATCTTTACTCTCCCCGTGATCACGGCTGCTGCTAAGCACCTTAACGTCGAGCCGTAGTTAAAATGATTTTCAAAGTTTAACTAATAAATATCGCGTTATTAAACCCTTTTTTAGATCTTGTTACGGAACCCTGTGTGACATCTACTCGCACTTGGTCAGTTTTAAAATATCTTTTCTCTTACGAAAACCGTTCAAGGTCCGCGAATGACTTCTGTTCTTCGTGAGAATGGTTTAAAATTTAATTTTGTTAATCTTTCAACGATAAGATAGAGGCCGTCTTATTGTTTTGTTGCATAATGTTTCTCGGGTCTGGGACAAGGTAAATGATATTGCATTTTTGAGGAATATTAATGAACTGCAGAGACAATCAGATGGAATGAACCATCAATAACTCCACACTTGTTGTTCTTAACTCATAAATTTTAGTTAAAAATTTAAAGGAATCAAGTGACATGTAATAAATATAAGAGAAATGTAATGCTCCTGTGTTTTACGAGGCATTAGGATAGGAACTCGACTGTGTCATTAATATCTGTATATCCGTTTCCAAATTTTTTCAAAATATAGACATATCTATATCACTGTTAAATACTGTCTATAGTTTACGCGTGTACAAATTTAAATAAAACACTTTAACTGTTTAAAACGCAATATTTATTAGTTAGTTATTTAAAAATAATTTTAACTACGGCCTGACGTTTCGAATGCTTTGCAGCAGCTGTGGTCACAGGGAGACTTAAGATGGAGGCTGTATATCACAATGTTGATTTTGAAAGCCAATCATCTTAATTCTGAATCTTTAAATACACGTGGATTATACTCGACACACTTAAGCATGTCTTTATAAATACGATAAGATATCGTATTTTAATGCAAAGCTTCAAACTATAAACGTTTTCCGTATAGCTTAAAACAAAATTAATCTTAAAATGATACGCATTTGAAATACGCTCTACAAATGCTTGCGTCAGTTGTTTAGTGTTAAATAATGGCATCTGAGATAAATGGCCAGTACAATTTGTTTCAATGTAAGACAGTAAGCCTTTCTATTCAGAGCGCAATGCGATCTGTAAATGGATTTAGATTGCGTTGTGGTAGAGGTGAGAAAAATTGCTAACGATATCAACCCTGAAATAAATAGCGTCCGTGATTGAATACAGTCTGTGGATCTATGCGAATGATATTATCTGTGTTAAGACAATGGTTGTTCTAAATTTAAAGTCTTCTATATATTTAAAAATGTTATACGTATTCCTTTTTTGAATATTTAGTATGTTTTGATTTGTTTGTTTAATCTATATCGATACTAAAATAAATGTCGTCTATATTATTTAAAATAATGTCTGTGGCCTGTCTAATAATACAAAAATATTGACGCAAATACAGTGTTTAGTTTAGTTAAGGATATAGTAAATATATAATTCGCGAAAAAGCATATCTTTATTTTTTTTATTCTGTTGCATTGTTGATCTATATAAGTTATAAATTTACTGTAAATATGTGAATGGCAGTAAAAAGTTTTGAATTTGAATAATGGTAATAAAGGATAAACATGTCCTTTATTACCATTATAAACATACTTAAAAAATATTTTCTTATTCTTTATGTTGTTTTAATTCACATTTAAGAAATGACCTTTTAATCAAATTCGTTTTAAATCCGAGAAATGAATAACCTTTTTGCTATAATACATTCAAAACACGCATTCGATTAGATTTTTTGTAAGGTTGAACGCCTCGTGGCTACAAATCGGATTGAGCTTCCCGGTTTCCAGTTTTTGCTGAATCATTACCGTGACAAATTTGTGGTCAGTAGGGTTCCCTTTATTGAGACAATCAATTTAGCTGTAGACTTTTTCTTTAAGAATACAGCTTTACAAACATTGTATTAGGGCGTGCTGCTTATACTCAACGACTAGTAAATATTGTAATATAAAAATTGTTTTAGAGCTTCTTAAAGGCATTATTTTCGGATATATTAATCTCGTATTTGACGTATTTATTAAAGCTAACCCCGTAATTATACAGAAATATTATGCAGTATTTTTTATGATAAAGGAGGACAGACAATCATGACGTTCACAGTTAGGTGAAATACCCCAGCCAATAGCATCTAAACAAGATGCGCTGTCGGCCCATTTTGGCTTTCGATATTCGGAAATCTACAGTCTGCACCGAAACGTGATTAAACTTCACGGCCTTTTCAACTGTGGACGGTGGTTCGTGACCCGGACGGTAATTTGATTCCTACCGCCCGTTTCAATATCCAGATTTCCAGACAATTCCAACATATTTCAGAAAAATGTAAATGAAAAATTAGAACATGTTGGACCCAGTGGGGATCGAACCCACGATTCGTTGATTATTTGCCATACAGTGCTACCATTAGACCAAAGAGGTCTTTTGTTATGTCGATATGTTAATTACGTACGTAATGTACCTACTTTACGTACGTATGTACGTGATCTACTTTAACAGGTAGATTAATATTACACAATCTGAAATCGTTGATGAGATGCATCTACTTCCGAAGTGAAAGGACTAATCAAAAAGATATAAAGGTTCGATTTCTAGCAAAAAATATATCCGCTTTCGGTTTCTGCGGATTTTTTAGATATGTTTTTATTCATTGTGTGCTGTAGATTAGTTCCATGTTTTTCAACTATCATTGTTTACGTATAAAGTTTGATTTCTTAAAAAATAAGCTAATCATAATAATACACTGACAGGTTTTATCATTCGTTGCTCTCAAATTTCAGTAGATTTGCTTTTATTGTAAGAATAACTTTGTTTAACAATTATTGTTACATAGGTGTAATAGTAGTTCTCTGTGATTCAATGGTTAAAAGTGAGCTATGTTCAAGATCAGAGGTTGTACGTTTCTCTTGTAGGTTCCTACATCCTACATCTTTGTAGATGTATGTGCTAGACACAGCAAACAAATCATTTCACTCATTCACACGATATTGAATACATCTTTCGATTGAAACAAACGACAGGTGAAAGGCGCGTACTGTATGTGAGAATGGAATATTACAATCAATCGTTTTCATTATTTAATCAACTACTGTGCATAGGTAGGTTGAGTAGAGAAAATATAATATTTAAAAGTAAACACAACCGATTTGATGTGGCATTAGTAACCATATTGCTACGTCAACTACTTGCAGTTCGCGTTAGAAAAGCTTTAGAGTTTTATTTATGTTAACATTTTTCTTCTCCTTTATGGATTATTTTACATATAGAGTTATTATTGTATATAGATACAAACTTATTAGATTAAATGACTGTGAAATCAATGTATTTTAATCTGTGGGTCGCTGCCCCATACTCAGGGGATCACCGGCTCAAAGAAAAATTCGAGGTCCTTACGGTCCTGAGGGATGTGCTTGTAAAGATCTATTCATTTGAAAACTTTATCATAAATAGTGAAGGCACTATAAGTTTAGAAATCGAAAATAAACTTAACTCTCTACTCTTAATTCAGCTACCGAGTCTCGAGACTCCGTAGCTCAATTGGTAGAGCAACAACACGGAACGGTTGCAGTTAGTCCTGCCAGTCGAAATTTTTTTCAATTTATTTTCGTTTTTTTTAAATCTCTGGCTTTCTACGTCGCCATTATATTTCAACAAAGATTCAAAAAGATTGAAAAACACTGTGCTTAATAAACATTTAATTTAATTAAGTGTATTTATTTCTACGTTCGTTTAACTCATCTTATTATTATTATCTTTTAAGTATTCACCTCCATAAAATGTACTACTAAAAATGGTCAAATCCAGCCTTTTAACTTTCCATCTACATTTGTCTACGTCCTAACATAAATGAAAATCGAATTCGCCAATTGTTATAATAACATTGTTGTAGAAAGCGAATGGTTCGCCAAGGTCAGTTTACCTTGCCGGATGCAGACCTTTACTGAACACGTGTTCCTCCGTACTTACTGCATGCCTTTGATCTCTTTGTGTATATTTGTTATCTATGCGATCTAGATTCACGTATTTCATGTGTAGGATGTCCTGGGTCACGCTTTAATATCGTCACATAACACGAATTAATTTTTATTATGAAATAAGTATTAAATAACTTTACATAGGAGACGTAGAGGAATACGAGCGAATAAGCAGCGGGAATTGTGGAAAAAAACGGAAAATTATATTTATCTTTGTGGGTTATCGATGCTCACACTGCGAGAACGGTTGAAGATCCGAAAATATGTATAAAAGAATGATTCCTGTTTAAAGAACTAAAACAATGTCTACGATGCGATATGTCTCTTTTAAGATGAACTTGCAAGAACGACGAGACGCGACCGACGTCATGGTTATCAGCTTAAATTTATAAAGATGAAGAGGAGGATGCAAAAACGAATTTCGATGTCCAAAATCATGGACAATCTATTATCTAAGAGGACAATAGTGGTTTGACATATCATAGTATTATTAGATGTCATTACGTTTAACATAGTTACAATAAGGTTTATCTATTGGTTTGATATAAAGTTTATGCTAAGGAAAGAAAAATTCACCAACCTGGGGGCAACTTCGACTTGAGCATGTCCATAGCTACTACGTTGATGACCAGGACCCAGATGGGGCACTCCAGCAGGTCATTGTCTGCCTTGACGAATGACACAGCGCTCAAGCATTGTGTTTCCAGGCGTCTCCTGTCTGGATATGAGCGGCGTAGCTCCCGGTTCACGTTCGATTGGAATTTCTTCATGTCGAACAGCTGAAAAGAAATGTAAACTTACAGATATTTGACTGTTTTGGAGTTAAAAAATTCAAGATACTGGCTAGATATAAAATAAAATAACAATAAAAAAGTATACTCAGTTATACTTTCAAATATGACAGATATTTTTGATAGATTGTCTTTTGTTTTAATTTGTTAATGATATCGGTTTAAAGACATTCTACACAATTAACGGAGTTTTCTCATCAAAAAGTGTTTTATACTTAAACCCTTTAATTAAGTAAAAATTAAGAGAGTAAGAAGTCGTTTCCCTTATTACGAGAATGAGTGGTGTGCAAGAAATGATATCACGTCTTGTTCGTGATCATGGTGTATATTAATGATGCCTCAAACCCGATGAAAGTCTAATTAAATCTACTTAACATTACATCACAATCAACGGATCGGATGTATCAGATCCCATCGACAATTACACAATGGCGGTGAAAGAACAATCGCCTTCAAACAACTTGATGTCTTTTTAAATGCTCAAAAGCCGATGAAATTATAGTGCTTGCTTTTTGATCGTTAATCTTTCTGTGAGATATCGGCCTTGGGTGTGAAAACTCTTTTTATTATCTTTACTAGTCAATTTTTACTTTCAATATTTACGAATCAATTTAAACCTTTAAATAAAACACTTTAAGTATTTGAAACGCGAGATATACTACTAAAACCTCTATGATTTTCTCCGTGTTTTGTTTCTTCGCTTCTATTAGTCATAGCGCGATGCTATAGCCTATAATAGCCTTCCTCGATAAATGCTCTAACCAACACAACAAGATTTTTTCAATTCGAACCAGTCGTTACTGTTACTAGCGCGTTCAAACAAACAAACTCTTCAGCTTTATATTCTATAATTATCTATACTTACGACGTATCACGACGAATACGTAGATATTGAAACGAGTGACAGAATGTTATTTCGTAAGAAACACACGTTAAAAATGGAAGCTAAGATGCCACGTGTATTTAAAACACTTGATCATATTAATTATTAAACTTAACGCAAAATATACCTTAAGTAACTGTAATTGTTCCGTGTAACATATAATACAGATTGAATTAATCCGGTTATAAAGTGGGGTCAAATTGTACAACCGCTGAGATATATCATTTTATGACATAAATGCGTGTTTGCGTAGGATGTGTCGCCGCCTTATTGCTAATAGGAACATTTATTAATATGAATATTATCTGTGTTATTTTTGCTATCTGTGTGTATATACAGCGCGTAAGAATTAAGGACTGACATTTCATCACAATTACTGACATATGTAACTTAAACTTTAAATAGGTGGAAAAAAATAAAATTGTATAACACAATGTAAAACAATCGTAGACAAATACAACATGTTTTATAGACAAACATAATATGTATATTCATTATTAGTCCAGTAAGTTACAAAAATAAAATATTTCTATTCACGATTGATTGCCCGTAGATAGAATATTACTAAAATTGTCTAAAAAATTATATAGAAAAGTTTTGACACTTATTACAAGACTTGACTATAACAACCCTTACCAGCCCACTCTTCATTACGTCTCAGGCCAAAGGAGGACATTAAAATATATGAATTGTTTTTTTCTTTTAACAAGAAAATTATTTTTTATTTAATGCATTTTATTGAATACCAATTACATATGTATATTTTATACAATATACTTATTTTGATAGCTGCGTTGAAGAATTAATTAATTTGTAATAAGTGGATATATAATTCGATTTCTATGTTATTATATTAGAAATACAAAAAATTGTTGTGAGAAATCTAACCGGATATCAAATTAATCTTAATATGTGAGGTCCATATCAAATATTTGGGTTGTCCATTCAAACATGATTTAAATCCGTATCGACATCTGACAAAGTGAAAATCGATGCTATCTACAAACACAACCGCCCAGTCATCCGTCAATCGAATTGTGACTCGATTCTTATTGAGATGTGAAAATCATATTCGATTCTAACTGATGATTTGAGTGATTGTTATCTGTGGCTGTTGTTTGGGTGATTTGTGGTCTGTTCTGTGACTTTTCCAGGTGACATTTTATCTAAGTCTTAATATTAATTTTGTTAACAAAGAATATATGTAAAATCATTTATTAGTGGTACTTGCCTGTTCTACACCTTAAGTAAGTGAAACGGGATTTTTACTTGCTGTCTGTAGTTTACGCGAGTAGTACCATTAAATAAAACACTTTAACGGTTTAAAAGCGACACACACACATATATATATATATTTTTTTGTAAAACGGTTTTTATTACTTAACTGAGCCATGTTTTGAGCGTGGTCGAGGGGAGACCTTATTTACGCGAAGTAGTACATAAACAATTAATGTTTTATAAAAACTCTTTACACACGGTTTACAATAGATAAGAAAAAGTGATTGCTTAAAAATTTACGGAGTTGATTCCCGTTGGAGTACTTTTTTTTAATTTTGTAATATATAAAAGCTTTTATACTCAATGTTAAAATTAAGCGATGAGGCTTACCTCAAAACTAACTAGCACAGCACCTCGAATCTTAAAGACCGCATATTTACAAACAACTACCATTAATTTAAGCCCTCTAATGTATACCATCATTAATTAGTTTCTTGTTTTGTTAATACCTTTTACCGAGGTAGTGAGGCAATACCTTCTTTAATAATAGCGCTATCTCTCGCATTGTTCGAATTACGTAAACAGTTAATGGTGTATGAATTACTAATGAACATTTTGCCAGGTAGGAAGTGAGTATTGTTTGGACTGACCCAATTAACGGACGCAGATGGATTCGAGATACATGCAAAATATTGCGTTGCATATCACTTGTTAACTACCGAACAGCTTTTTACAGATGTATTATCGAAATATTTTGACAGATGTAATTTGGCCTTTGTTCTATTTTTTATCTGTGGATCTTATCAAAGATTTTTAGACACAGTAGGAGTTGATTGCTATTTTAGGTTAGAGCAGGGATTTAGCAAATGAAATTACAACTTGCATTTTACGCAAGTAGACAATAACATAAACAAATATTTTAGTGGAAAGCGATATATACACATTTTTCAATTTTAAATCGTCTGTACTTGAATTGAGATCTGAATAAATTAGTTGAAATTGGTGACTTTTGTATTGTGAAGTCCTTACCCCGATTACACTTAAAAGCTTCTATATTACACCTACGCTAAAACAAGTGAAGATTTGTAAAGGTTACATTGCATAAGAGCGTTAAATGAAAACGTTGAGCAATGTCATGGCCAAATCGTGCGCAGACGCACAATGACGCCTTAAATATGCTCCAAATGACCACAGCGCGTTGCACGCATTATTGTAATGCACGAGAAACACAGACAATCAGAAATTATATATATTAGTTCTTTTATTAAACCTCAAAGATAGAAGTGAAGTCCCCTTGGTTCTATGTGGTATACGAGGTGGACATATTTTAGAATTTATTAAACGTTGAAAACTCTAATATTATTAACTTGATAGTGTACTTTAACGCGCAAATGTTAACGTTGAAATTACATTGCGCGCGCATATATCAATAGCTTGAAAAAAATTTAGCCATGAGGTGTAAGATACGGTAGCTCAATTGGCTAGAGCAACGCCACGGAATGCTGTGGATGCCGGATCAAGTCCTGTCGGTGTCGTATATTTTTTTAAATCTAGAATCGATATTTAATTTACACTCTTTTGTACTGCCTGATCGAAAGCATTTTGTTTTGCCCGAATTCGAAATCAGGCCCATTCGATAATGCTCTTTTAGGCAACAAGCTCATACCTACTTAGTATAGAACAGATTTGACAGTACCATAACAAAAGCAAAATTTGAAATTGAAGCTTTGTAAGGTCGTCGATTCACATATCCGTACAAATCTATTGTTAGAGATGTTTGTATTTCTTGCTTTGTTAAATACCAAAGATTAAACTCGTAAGATATTTTTTTATAGTTTCTAAAATAACAGCATGTTTTTACATGCTATCAAATAAGTGGATCCGTAATCAGAAGCTACGTTAGAATACATTCTTCACTGAATAGGGAACGCCTTCTATAAATCAAGTTTGGGTGAAGTTTTTTTGTAGGGTTCTGTAATTATTTTTATGTTCCTTGCCTATTTTTAGTCATTTAGTTATGATTGAATTTCTTTTCCTGTTAATCTGTCAATTTAATTGACAATTTGATTTAAACATACATATATGTCTTGCTATTCCAAACGTGCTTCACGATCATAAAAAATCAAAGGACGTTAATAAGAAGAAAAAATAATACTAATTGTATTATACTCACTGTGATGTTTTTTTTTTAATTTCTAAAATCCTATAACGTCTTGTTGTTATTAAATTCATAATTATATGATAAAAGATTTTCTCTCTGTATGTACGTAAAACGTGGGATGCTTTAAAACAGAACCCTAACTACCTTCAGTGAGCATACTAGGCAATTATGTGGGTAGCCGTGAAATTAATAGAGCAAGTTACGACACTTCACTGTATTAAAGAGCCCGTCTTGACGGAAATGATTACGGGCTAACATTGTTTTGTGTACGCTGTCGAAAAACGTGCATTTTCAGGGTTCCGTCCTGAAAGGTTAAAAATGGAGATATATTACTAAGACTCCAACATTTCTCTCCCCGTGACCACGACTGTTGCAAAGCATCCGAACCGTCGGGCCGTAATTCAATAAATTTCCAAATAAGTTTAAATAATATATGTTTTAAACCGTTTTCTTAAAATATAAACTAACATATTTTTTGTCCGTCACTAGGATATATTAAAAACAGCTGTTATAGGTGAAGTGTTAAAATCTTCACCGATTGTGTATGTTTACGCTATAACAAAAATTTCCAAAGATTAAACAATCCAGTATGAGAACAAGGCCCATACGAACAATTTATTATTTTGGCTATTTTTGCTAGATATAAAAAAAGGTTACAATATGAAATTTGTAAAACATGTCCGTACTGAACCCTACGTGCGGTAGTCCGATTCACACTTGGCATGTTTGTTATTAATGTTTTTACGTGTTTAACGTTCGAGAGCCGAATAAATTGTTTATTTTTAAACACTTGTATGCGATGTTGTACATCTATGACGCCGAGTAATATTTAAAAACGAAAAGTCTTGGATTCCGCACTTGGGGCAACTACACTATTTCGGTCAGGCAGGGTAAGATAAAAAAAAGGTATAGTAAAATGAACTTGGCTATAAAAGGAATGGCGGCGAGTTTCTTGCCAGAGCTTCTCGCTTGTTCTACGCCGTTGATTTTAGTCTTTAATTCTTAATTAGTTTGACGTTTTTAAGTGTAGTTAGGTCCAAAATATATACGTGAAAGATTATCTTCGACGTTTGACTTTTGAATGTATGGTATATGGAGGCATGCTTTGCTAGGTATTGCTAACAACTAACCTTGAAGATCTTCTCCTGTTCCAGCGCGTATCCAGGCAGCTTAACTATATCTTGTCCTATGGCCGTCTCCTCATTGCTGGTAGCGGCTGTACTCTTCACGAACACGCTACTTTTTGAATAGCGCTTGATGAGTATGTTACCCGCGTCGTCCATTTTGATCTTGACACCCTGGAACAAAAATCATTACATTAAGATATAGATATAGCGATTATCATCTTAGCAAATAAGTTTTTAAATAAAACGCTATAACGATTTATAACACGATAAATAACTTATTTGAAAATTATTTTAACTACGGCCCGACGTTTGGGATGCTTTGCAGCAGCCGTGGTCATTGGGAGGCGATACGCCGTAGTTAAAATAATTCAATAAATTGTCAAATAAGTTAACCAATATATAAAGCGTTTTAACCCGTTAAATTGTTTTATTTAACTGTGTACTACTTGTATATACTACAAACAGTATAAAAGAGCTTTATGAATCACCACACCGTTCCATGTTGTTGCTCTACTTTTAATAACTAATGGATCACGGGTTCGATTCCTGCTAGGTCCAGCATAATTGGTAAAATTGTGTACTTCCTTTTAAAATCTGGGAAATGTCTGTAGATGAAATGTAGAATACCAAAATTCTGGCCAGATGACGAAGCACCAACCAAATGTGAAATAATTAACTCTAAATTTGTGTTCGGTTTTATGTTATGTATTAAGATGGCTAAGGCATTTCAACTTTTATCAAGTGAAATTGGTAACTTGTCTACCCTGTGAACATTCTAGAAGAGTCACCCATCTAATTCCGTTTGGTTTCACAACCAAACGAATTAGATGGAGAAAGAACGTCCTTCATACATGAGCTTTTGTGACTCTAGCGGGTGCTAAACAATAGAATTACCATTATACTATGATATCATCGACCTTTAAACGTCGGTGTTAGTCTTTTGGAGATAATTGTACGATTGTTAAGATTTCGATTATTAGATTAGGGTTTCCTTGTATAGTGCCTCCCAAAATGTGTGAAAGCGAAATATTAAGTACTAGCTGTGCCAGCGACTTCGTCTGCTACGAATATTTATTTTGGATATCCAAATTCGTTTTTGCAAACCCCGTCATCTTTCTAAACTTAAGCTGTTAGCCACGACGTCGGTCGCGTCCCTTCCCGTCGTTCTTACAAGTTAATCTTATGAGATAGACTCAGGCTGAGTATAGCGTCAGGAGTATGTAATTAAAAGAGGAATCATTCTTTTTTCATTTTTGGGGTATCTTGATATGTAATGATGAATAATGTTACCGCTTCACATTCACTACACATTTCCCGCTGTATCTTCGCTTGTATTAGTGATGGGGCGATGTTTTATAGCCTATAGCCTTCCTCGATAAATGTTCTAACCAACACAAAAAGATTTTTTCAATTCGAACCCGCAGTTCCTGAGATTAGCACGTTCAAACAAACTCTTCGGCTTTATATATTAGTATATAGATACAGTTTACCTTAGTATATTAAATATTGATTTGATATTAATGACTGTATATCTAAAAGACTGCTATAGAAAAATATGTTTAATAGCATAGGATAAGTTTACTTTTTTCTATTACTTTAAATCATTTAAATTGAAAGTAATGGAAAATTATTACTAATAAGAGTTTCCACGTAAACAGCATTATTTAAAAGAACGTTTGCTGTTTTCACCAGTAGATTACGTTAAATTAAGATAAAATGGATATGAAGGCGTAAAACTAAATTAATTTGACGATTTTTATATTACATACGTCGCGCTCACAAGCCAGTCGTTAGTAAAACTATAATCCGTTGTTAAAAATGTTTCGTTGATGTGTAATACATTTAACAACATAGATGATCTCAGATCTTTGATAAAGTTAATCACGGAATTCGATAAAAAATTAAACATGACCCATACTGATTGAACATGTGGATTACCTCCTTGGAGTTACAGGAGAGGTTTTTTGGTTTAAAAAAAAGAACAGTAAAAATCGAAGTTAGGTAGTTAGTATTCAAACAAAAATAAATAATATAATGGCTAGTTATTATTAAAACTGATTATATGGTAAATTGAAAACTTGTCTTTATGAGGAATATAGGTCGGGCTTGATCCCGTCTTAACAAATTCCACATTCTTTCCTATATCACCAGAATCCGAAATCTGAATACTCAACAATATTATATTATACGAGACTTCTTTCACTTTGAATTACATTATGTAATTTAAAATTACAATTGTCGTTGTTATTTTAATTTAAAAAAGTGTTTTGAACACGTCTTAAAGTATGTCTAACTAATATATTAATGCCAACTAATTTTAACTTTATTAAATACAGACCCCCTATGAAGTATTAAAGTCTAATCAATTAATTTTGTACGATAATTCTATCATCTAAATTCATAACTATTTATACGAAAATCAATTAAACGCCGCTAAGTAAATCTGTTCGAGTTATAAAAACAATTTTAATTACGGCGATGAAACCAATAAAAGCTAATAAATTATAAACCACATATTACATAAATGTTCTGTTAATTGAATAAATAAATATTTCTATATATCGCGTTTTGAACCGTTAAAGTGTTTTATTTAAATAAATGTTATATGTTTGGGATATTTCATCTTATATCGAGTAGCCATGCTTATCTCTCCACCTGTATTATAAAAAAATGGTCCAAATGGGACCCATGATTAATACGGTACCAAGTCGTCTAACTCTTAGGCTGTGTGACAGGTGAATTCTAAAAGTCTAGTGTAAAATTCTCATACTTCAAAATGTAACAACGGTTCTATAGATTATTCTATTAACTCTCGTGCCTTAAATTTGTTCCACCTCATCAAAGTCGGAATAAGGTCGGAGTTATTGAGTGACCTTTTCAAATTATAGTTCTGAAGCAGTATGCCCAAGAGCAAATATTAGATACGGCCCATAAAATATTTATTAACTTAAAGACTGTTAAGAAATCGCCGAATACATAACTACCTACTGTTTTGTAATCTATTTATCTACGCTTCTTAAACAGGAAAGGCGTAATACTGATCACATTATGTACTCGGCACACGTCAGTACTGTAGTAGATAAATCTCGTTTCCCTCCAATTGGGCATAGGGCAAGCACATTTCTGTGTCCGTTTCACTAGTTCTTTTACAGACAAGTAGTTGATCAGACATCTATGTCTTGCCTACCGAAACAATCTATTGTTTGTTCGGGATTCGAACCTCTCACGCTTAACGTAATGCTAGGTAACCATTTAGCGACACAGGCGGTCACTCAACGTTATTCTTTTGAACTTAAATGGGACTTGAACCGGCATCCACGATGTACCGTGCTGCTGCTCTAACCAATTGAGGTACCGTATTCTTTTTATATTATTAACTATTAAATGAAAGTAATGTATTAATATACAAAGTAGCTGATAATTGATAAAATATCTTTACTGACATATACATGAGTTAAAGTACTTAAAAGAATAGGATTTTTATTAGCTCTCATAATTGACGTTCAATTATAATATTAATTAAGTTATGCATTTTTAGGACTCTGAAATAACTATATATTTTTGAAACTTCGAGATTCTACAATTGGGTTTTATCACGTAAGTGACCTTAAGACTAAAATTATTGACCTAATAAAACTCTATAACTCCAATTATTACCATCCCTAAATTAATTAAGTTTTTAACATAAAATAATAATGAATCCGTAAGTTTAGTGGCAGACTACAAAAGAAGTTTGATTTCCAATTAGGTACAAAAACGCTTCGGCCTTGCGCGTAGACAGCTCGTTATTACATCACAACATATTATAAACTATTGTTATTCGATTTTATTGATTCGTTTATTTTAGATATTTTGATAAAAAGCTTGATGAAAGACAAAATGTCCTAACATTAAGTCCCTTATTCAATAGATTATTCTATTTGTATGGTTTTTTTAGATAGAGAAGGACAGACGAGCATGGTGGTGGTAATTTAAGATGCGCTGTTGGCCTATTTTGGCATTGGATATTAGGGAATCCACAAACAGAAACTGTGGACGGTGGTACCCGGATGGAATTTCTATATTCCAACCACCCATTTAAAAACCAGATTTCCAGACAAAGTCCAAAATTTTTCAGAAAAATTATAAATTAACAAATTAGAAACATGTTTTGACCCGGTGGAGATCGAACCCACGACCCGTTGATTATTAGCCATGCATTGTTAAGAGTAGACCAACGAGCCCGCGAAAATATAAAATAAAACATTTAAATAAAACACTTTAACGGTTTAAAACGCGATATATTAGTTAAACTTATTTGAAAATTATTTTTAACTTCGGCCTGACGTTTCGGATGCTTTGCAGCAGCCGCGGTCACGGCAAAAATCAAATTTCAAATAAGTTTCACTACTTTATCGCGTTTTAAACCGTTAAAGTGTTTCATTTAAATGTGTACTACTCGCGTTAACTATAGACAATATTTAAATAAAACATATTTATAATCATGAACAACCTTAAAACATTAACGAACAATTTGGACTAAAAACAGCGAATTATCAATTTATTAGACAACATCGTTACTCCATTTTTGTGTAATTGAAGGACGGACTAACATGTCGAAATAGCGTCATTATAATACTATGATGTTACCTAAACGATTAGATGATTAGTTTGATGTTTTTATTAAGTGGATATTACTCATGATGATGATAAAAACTTAATTCGATGAGTAAATAGCATTTGTTTTGAACTCTACTCGTAAAGTCCTTCAAATATCAACAAAATATTACGATATTAAGAAGTAATTAATTAATCGTTATTTTTGAAACTTTTGAGTTGATTATTGGGTACAGTATTATCAAAATTGCCTCAATGTCCTTTCACGGCCGGATTTGGCGAAAAAGTAACAATGTTTGACTATACTTCCGATTGATGAGTTAGATTTATCGTTCTTCTGAAACATTTAACTTTGTTTGAAAATCTGGATATTGGGTGGTGGGAATATCGAAATTCCGTCCGGGTCACATACCACCATCCGCAGATGAAAAAGCCGTGAAGTTTACCACGTTTCGGCCTCAGTAGAACCCCATAATTAATATCCTTGGACATATATGGCTCATTAACCGCTCTTAAACCCAAACCACCCATGCTCCTAGATCCGTGTTGTGTGTCCGTGTAAATTAATGGGTATTTTTATGAGAGGGCGTTCACGAAACTTAGTTATTTAGCTGTACCATCGATCAAGTCGTCTTCGTTTTCTTGTGCAATGTTATTAAATAACTTTAATACACTCAAAGAGATATTTTTTATCACTTCTTACACAATAGCGTCAGCGATATTATGAAAAGCATATTATACAGTATAATATACTTTTCATAATATTATTACTTGAATGGAAATTATAAAAGATATACTGAGATTTAACTAAAATACTAACGGTTTAAACCCGATATATATTGGTTAAACTTCTTTGAAATGTCGCGCCGTAGTTAAAATAATTTTCAAATAAGTATATATATATCTCGTTTTAAACCGTTAAAGTGTTTTATTAAAATGTGTACTACTCGCGTAAGCTACAGACAGTTTTTATACCTAAAAACAATTGTTGCAGCTTTTTAAAATTTCGTTGTAACTAAAAGGAAAAATTCTCTTTGTTCTACACACATAACTCTTTCCAAAAAAGTAAACTTCATAACATGGGGAATACCCAAAATAATAGTTTCTGAGATAAGCGTGTTTTAATCAATCTGTAAGTACAACGCCCACTCAATGCATGCGCATGCGCATATTTCGTTAAATGGTTAATCCACCTTTTACCATCTACCCCGCATTACCTAATAGGCTTTTAAGGAAAGTTAGGTCGTCCACATTCATTAGATACTCGGTCATCACCTGTTTTAGTGTATTCTGAGGATGGTTCAGTCCTCAATGCATAAATAACATTAAGTGGATACGTGAATAAATTATTAATACGTAGCTAGTTAAAGACTAATAAAATGTTCTAAAAGGCTATAAGCAAGGGTGTGCCTTAAATTATTGCAGATGCATAGCACTTAAAGGCTCATCACCTTCGTGGATTCAATTACAGCCTGTATAGAGTGTGCCTGCATGCTTTTTACAATATTATTTCAGTCTGATTTAAATAAATGTGGCCCAAAATTATGGTAAATAATATTGACTAATATAACGTTTAATGTCGTTATATAATATAATATACATATAATCTAATATAATAAAATTCTCGTTCATGGTGTTCGAACTTGAACTCCTCCTAAACGGCTGATCGATTTTCACCAAATTAGATATGTGTATTCCAGTAGGTCTGAGAATAGGACAACATCTATTTTTCATCCCCCTAAGTGATAGTTACGATAGATAAGTCACTATAGTATATAGGCAGTCCTTATTTTTTTTTTTATTTTTTAGACAAAATTTTTAATTTCAATTTTTTATGATCAACATACAAAAATACATACAATCCTCAATTTTCACCCTTCTACGATCAACCTTATATTTTAATAGAATTTTAGTAAAATAATATGGCAAAACAATGCCGCTAGCTAATATAATATAATATAATATAATATGGCATGTTTGTAAATTTTTCTATGATATTAACAACAGAAATAGAGTAATTACCTGTCCTATATGTTTTTTCAGCTCTTCAGTTTTCTGATCTCGGTGTGGGTTGTCAAATCCGCAGAGTCCAATTCTGTAAGAAAAGAAAAAAATAGTTTTATTTATTCCTTGCACGAGGCGCACAACTTTATGCGATGATTTTTACATTACCTGGACTTTTGCCAATGGTATTAGAATAATCTGACGTGGAAAAACCTCGAATAAAAATGAGATATGCTAGTCTCGAGATAATTTACTTTGTGTCTATGCACCTTTACGTTTAGGTATTATACGGGTTATTTATGAGGGGTTTCGAACCTGCGACAGGAGGTACATATAATATAGCTCTGATGGAGCCAAGAATTTAATATGAAAGTCTTAATTTTATGGGTTAACAATTTGTTTATTATGGTCATTTGTCATTGCAGCTTTAAAGTATTATTATAAGTTAATAAATTGTGTTAGGCTTTCACGGCCATCGTTCAGCATATCATTGTTTTCGGGCTGTTCGGCCGACGTGAGCGAGAAGAGGTTCTCGACGTTTCGCTATCACGAGCGCACGGCACCATCAGGAGATGTTAGCTCTTCGATTGTTCGGCCGAACAGCCCGAAGAACAATGACATGTTTGTATTAGTTGTTTGGGAAAACATGTGTGTATTTATCCGAAGATTTGTATTAAGAACGTCTAACGAGTTTGGAAAATCCCTTTGACGAACAAGTAATCAAAACATTTATATTGACAAAATTTAAAAATGGAAGCGAAATATGAAATTACTTTTATTTAAACGAATATTTTTATCCATAAGATTATCTTACATAAACCTGCTTTAAAAGCGACCACATTATGCTAGACTAAAATGTAATTCAACCACATCTTATAACCAGGAAGAGTAAACACCTTGTGCCAACAGCTAACACCAATGTTAGTTTCTCATGCAACAAATTGGACGATGACGCCAAAGGAATTTGTCAAATGTTAAAATTTCCATCACGTACAGTATCGGAATATTGTTTTCTCAAAACCGTTTCTTGTTCGCTCTGAGAATCAACATTTGTCGTTCATTATTATGCTGAGAGCGGTTTAACTTCGGTCGGCGCTTACTGATAGGCAATTTCTATTTTGCCATGTACTTTATATAGTTCAAGTACAGTGTTTTAATATTCTACCGGCGTTCTCTTAACTACTGGAGACGATTAGTTTCTATTGAAAGCCGATCGGTTGTGGTTTATTAATAAAGATGGCCCGAAGGTGGTTTTAACTGTAACCGAATTACGGTATAGCATTTGGTTTAGTTTTTTTAAACTGTCAATCCTAACAATATTTTAGTAGTGTAGCAAAGTTTTGAGATAAAACGGCGCGTATACAGCTATAAGTGAAATCGCGTTTCCCCTCGTCGCGCTTAAGGCGAACACATCTTTGTGTCCGTTTTACACATCAGTAAGTAGTTGATCAGATTTCTGTGCCCTGCCGGAACGAAACAATTGATTGTTCTCCTGAGATTCAAACACTTAGTACCTCTCGCGCGTAACACAATACGATGCAACAAGTTTTACTATTTGTTCTAACTTCGAATTGCTCTAAAGATGTATACTGTTTGTTCTATTTTTAAAAATAGTTTTTTTTACGCATAGTGTATTTTCCCACCTTCATAACACTTATCCTCAGTTACATCTTTTGAAAATTTCTTAGTATTCCACGAAACATTCCCGCCAGAACAACGGATATTTTAAGTAAACCAAATAACGGTATGGTAACATTATATTAATCAGATAACGTCTGTTATCATACAACATGACGTTAAGGTGATACTTGAACTATATCTATAATATAAGTATGTATAATATACAAGTCTTGTTGTAATTTGGGTGTAAATTGGTGGGGAGATAGCTTAGAACCAGGACATTACCATTTTATACAATTTTCTGTGACGTAACATAGAACGCCAAATTGACACATAACTATAAAAAGTATTTAGAAATTAGAAAGTTGTCTGTATAATGAAAAGCGTAGTTTACGCCATACACAAAGATTGACATAATAGAAAAATAGTTTTCACCATCTGAGATGTCACGCTTCGTTCAATAGATTAAATTGATCTAGGGGATATATGCTTTGTTTCATTAATATCGGTTTCTAAATGACAAAAAGGAAGTACTTAGTTAAAAAATAATAACTTACAAATCGTTAAGTACTTAACAAGGCAGACCGAATCGAGGGCCAAAGAAATCTTAGTATCTCATCATATAGTTATAAAGTAACATTAACCTTTGGTATGCCAGTTATTTATAAGGAAATATAGGTCAATGATTAGTCAGAGTAATTTAGAGAGGTATAATAATATAGTCAAGTGTGATATATCGGATGCGAAAAGGTCAGAGTTTCGGCTTGCCGCCTATTAATTAAGGATCGCAAGCTTTTTATGTATGTGTGCGCATTATGAGAAGCTAAGAAATCTATGTATGTAATATGAAGGACGAAAATTTTAGACGTGAAATAAACTCCTTGGAAAATCGAAATAAAACACAATTAACGGTTTAGAAGGCGAAAAATATTAGGAAACTTATGTCTTATTTTTTTAACAGTGGCCCAACGATTTGCTTCATTTTAAACCGTTGATAGTGTTTCGCGTAAACTATAGATAACCTTTGGATATGATTTAGAATTTAAATAACAGTCACAAATAACAGTGACGTATTATTGGGTATAAAGTAAAAATTATGGTTTAAGTATTATGTTAACGTCATGGCATATTTAAATTACGAGAAAGTAACTTAGTCTAACTTGTGTTGAAAACTTTTCATGTGTTTGGTCGGCTTTATATACACTCTATCGCGTAGTATACATTATTTTGGACATCCAAATTTGATTTCGCAAATCTTCTTTTCATCTTTATACATTTAAACTATTACCCACGACGTCGGTCCCGTCCCTTCGACCCCTTCATTCCAACATATTTTTTGGGTATCTTGAACCGTCTTCGTAGCGTAAGCATCGGAAACCCACAAAGCTGACTAATTTACCCAATTTTGTCGCAAATTTCCCACTGTTATTAGTAACAGCGCGCTTTTATTGCCTAAAGCCTTCCCTAATAAATGTTCTAACCGATACAAAAATAATTTTATAATTCAAACCAGATCTTGAAATTAGCGTGTTCATACAAACAAACAAACTCTTGAGGTCTACATATTAGTATATATGGGATCACTAGGCACTAACTAAATGCATAGTTAGTGCCTAGTTGTCCCATATATCTCTTTGTACTCTTAAAAAAACGCAATACTTCCTAATACTAGTCTTAACTTGTCAATGAAGTGCCACATGTTTAGGTCGTCGAACCAGTCAAGTGATTGTGCCGGCCTTGGTTCTGACGATTGGCTACTGTGTCGCGGCGCCCAACGATTATTTACTATTTCGAGTGGGTCATTTTATATGTAGCAACCTTCGAATATCGATAATCGATTTGTGAGTGTTATTATATCGTTATATTATACTTTAGTAGTTTAATGTAAGTAGAACTTTATTAGACTTTAAATTTTAATTAAGTTATTTGTTTTTTCTTGGTTACAGCTTTAGACTTTGATATGTATGTTACATACTGTTTACAGTTTACGTCAGCAGTCACATTTAAATCTTAAACGATAATTTTAAATCACCGCAAAAAAGATCCGAAGTCACTCGGGCCTAAACTCAGTTCCAAATAAGTTACCCAATATCGCGTTGTAAACAGTCTAAAGTGTTTTATCAACTTTATTTTGACATCTTATAATTAGTTTAAAATAATATTGTACATTTATAATACCAGCTTTTATAAACTAGAATTAAATACTGTACATTGTCTTTTTAAGGTAAGAAAGGCTTATATGTATATTTATTTATTTCATAATATATAACAGTTTTCCTCCTAGACTCTAAAGCTACATATTCTTTGAAAACCTCGAAAGACATAATTAATATCTTTAAAGAATAATGACTCTAATTTCGAGCTGTAGAAATTACTAACTATGTTCCCTAATCATTGCTTTGTCTAACATAATAAACAAATTCAGTTATCTCCACAACAAATCTGTTGCAACGCACATTAAAATAATTCATTGCACAACACGTAGATAAGGGCATGGTCATATAATCTATATATCGCAATTAATTTCATAATTATAGTGATTTATGTTAATTGAGAAATGTTCACCTTACCGCCATTGACTTGTGAGGCCCTATATAGTCAGTTTTTCTACGACACCTATACCGTCTGAAGTTTACTCGAGTAGTACAAATTAAAAAAAAAACACTTTTAACGATATAAAACGCTTAAAATATTAAATATTTTTTTTACAATTTACATTAACTTGTCTTATGAGTCACTAAAGCAATAGGTGTCGAGTGAAGGTTGTCGTCAAAGAGATGAACACTCCCACATTACGATAATTGTTTATTGTTCTATAGGCAATGAGGAGGCTTACAATGTTTGACTTCTAATATATCTCTATATTTAAGATTGTATATGAACTACAAACAAGTAAAGTTGAAAAAACTGAAAGCGTATGTTTTACATTTACACTTGTAAAAATTATCCCATAATTTAAACGACATTTAAAGAAATAGTTACATTTGGAACACTCACATCTAGAATTCTATGCATTCCCCATTTTCATCATCATACATATTTCGTCTTTTTTCATCTATAACTGATCCTTTTAATAATAGATCTGGATATCCTGGTATAGGTATTATTAAATTATAAGGGTTTCCAGATCAAAACTAGATTGTTCTAAAAATATTGTTACCAGAATAAATATTTTTTTTATCGTAGAATCTATATGTGTTAATAAAACAGTTAAACGGTTTGAAACGCGATATATTTTAGTTAAAATTATTCGACAACTATTTAACTACGGTCCGGTGTTTAAAATCGCCAAATAAGTTTAACAAATATTTGGTTTATTTAAATGTGTACTACTCGCGTACACTACAATGTTCAGATCTATATGTGGAAATAGACAACACACGCGACTAAACTAAAACAAATGGATCAAAACGTCAAATGTCAAACTGGTACAGATTCAAAATAATAAAGTTATTTCACGAGCCTCCAGGC